GTTAATCCTAGCAGGTGTAAGTTATGGCTGGCGTCCCTGTCAGTTTGGTATGTGTATGGACCTTTGGATAAAATGACGTGGAGTTTAAAATACTCTGGGGTAAATGCATGAAGGGGAATAAGCAGAACTATGCGTAAGGATTCACGACAGGATCATAATTTACCTCTTTGGCTCTGTGTTTACCCCAGTTCTTACTCTGCCTGCCAGTCAGCGGAGGATTAGAAGGATGAGGGAGGCATGGCGCAGGGGGAGAATCAGTGAGGGGAAGGCTGAAGGATACAGACCTTATTGAAGCAAGTAGAAAATGGGAGAAGTATTTGGAATGAACATGTCGGGAAGTGGCCAGGGGCACAGATGGAAACCAGCAGAGATGTGTGATGATACCAGAGAATCACATTTTGTCCAAGCAAGGCAGTGAGGAATCATTTTGTGGACCAGTTTTCTTTTACTGGCACACACCATTCACCTAAGGCACTGCTACATAACCTAGGCAGGTGCAGGTATACTTCACTTTACTCAAGAAGTCTCCAGTTTACTAGATGAGAATTTGTGATTTCTAGTATAGACAGGGCTCATTGAGGGAAGACACAGAAGACAATGTAGAGGAGCATGACCAACTGGCTTCATCCCTCCCAAAGTCACCCATTTGCATCATGCCTCCTCGTGGGCCTGGAGTGGCAGGTAGGGCTGAGGAGTTGGGCCCTGGACCAATATGCCTGCTGAAGTATGAGGGCCTTTTGCTTAGCAGTGAAAATTTTCACTTGCTAAATGGACATAATTCAAACTATGAAATCTGAAAATCACAGGTTCATTTATCACTATCCAACCCATCTTCTGAAAACAAAAACGTCTGTCATGCTAAGGAGTGGCTCAAGTGGTAGAGTGCCTGCCTAGCAAGTGTGAGGCTCTGAGTTCAAACCCCAGTACCAACAACAACAAAAATGGTCTGTTGTTTCTGTCAAAGCAAGCAGTCTTGGTACAAACTAGCGTGTCATTGCTACTTGTCTCCTGGTACCCCTCACAAGTTATGGGAAGCTCACACTCCAAAATGCCAAATGGACAAAAACCAGTTATAGTAACAGATGTGAAGATATAGGTAATTCTGCATGCCTTACTATTGGCAAGCAGGTTTCCCAGCCTCCTCTTTGGGACTGAGCTGGTCCCTCCCAGCTGGAGAGGAAGGGACAGGGCTCCAGTCATTTGCTCCAGTGATCATACAAAATTTCCAGAGTGCCTTGATGTGCAAGATGCCAAAGGGGCTCATACAACATGTATGACTAAGGGCAGTGCATGCACAGTATATGCTTTAGAAAGGCCTCAAACTTGCTTTATTATTCTGTACTGGAAAATGACCTAGGGAATAGAAAGCTATTAAATATTTTTTTGTATTTGGCTGGGGTTTGAACTCAAGGTTTCACACTTACAAAGCAGGCACTCTACCACTTGAGCCACACCTGCACAGTCCATTCTTGGTCTGGTTATCTTGGAGATGGAGTCCTGAAAACTATTTGCTTGGGTTGGCCTTGAACCACGATCCTCCCAATCCAAGTAGCTAGGATTACAGGTATAAGCCACTGGCACCCAGCTAAAGCCATTAAAAAATTTTAATCCTCAAATATGGAAATAGGTTTGCAGTTCCCCTGAGCTACATAATGACACCTGGTCTCAACAAAATTCCAGCACCTGGGAGGCAGAGATTGGTGGGATTGTAGCTCAAGGCCAGAGTAAGAAAGCTATTACGATCCATCTCAACAAAAAAAGCCGGATGTGGTGGCACATGCCTATCATCCCAACCATGCAGGAGGCAGGTTAAGCAGGATCGCAGTGCAGACCGGCCTGAGCAAAAACTACAAGACCCTATCTGAAAAATAACTACAGTGAAAAGGGTTGGGGTGTGGTTCAAATGATAGAGTACTTTCCTAGCAAGTGCAAGACCCAGAGTTCAAACTCCAGTGCTAACAAAAATAAAACATTGAAATGTACTTTTTTGGCAGTACTGGGGTTTGAACACAGGCCCTCACCCTTGTAAGGCAGGAGTTTGAGCCACTCTTCCAGTCCTGGCCTGAAATCTATCAATGTCTAGATCAAAGCAAGTCCTACAGGGCTTGATGACATTACAACCAAGTGGCACCATGGCTCTAAACACCTGGGAGGCATCCAATCAGCTCTCAATACTGGCTGTACATGAGAGTTACCTGGGAAATAAAAAAATACCCGTGTGCAGCTCCCTGGAGTAGAGGAAACTAAAGCAACATAAAGGTCCCAGATCTGCAGGCAAGGAGGGTGGAGACCTTGGGGCAAACAAGGTGTGACCCATACCTGTGGCTTACCCTTAGCAATTCAAGGACTGAAAAGCTGTCAATATGGGATGGAGCTGAGAGCAAAGCTGCATCCCTTCAATTTCAAGGCCAGGGTGATCTGAGGCTACTGCAGCTTACTTGGGCCCACACTGAGAGTCACTCACCTCCCAGAAACAGACTGCAAGGGCTCAGTCTCTTTCTTGCAAGGCCGCTGCCTCAGAATCCAGAGCATGGTGGAGAACTCAAGCTGCTTGTTAAGCAGCTGACTTCCACAAACAAATCACTCTTCAGTCTGCAACTCATGCCTCTTCAGCAGAGGCAAAAGTAAAGGTGTTCACAAAAATGCCTGGTGCAAAGGTTCCCTGAGGGGACCTGAGAATACTGGGCTCTCACACCACAGCCAGCAAAGTTCTGAAGAAACTTTCCCAGGGTCAGTCAAGATTGCACAGGGCCAGGCTGGATATATGGCTCAAGAAATAGAGTGCACCAGGCCCGGTGGCTCTGAAACCAGCACCAGGCAAATAGTTCAGCGAGAGCCTATCTGGAAAAATCTCAAACACAAAAGGCTTGTGGAGTGGCTCAAGGAGTACAGTGCTTGCCTAGCAAGTATGAGGTCTTGAGTTCAAACTCTAGAGCCATCAAAAAATAAAACACAGCCCTCCCCTCACTTCCTTCTTCTTTTTTTTACATATTAAATAGGACCTATTTATTATGGTAAAGAACAGACTTTGTCCCCATTTTCTCAAAACACTAAAATAGTACATGGCATAGTAATTTAGCACACAATATAAACTGATATATGCAATTAGCTTCCCCCAAAATGGCTGTTTTAAGTCTCACTTTGGGAATCCTTAAAAACTTACACTCTTAAATGACCTTTATTAAAGTCAACGACAAATGACAAAGGGTCTTATTTCAGAAAAATCTTAGTGTAAAAAAACACCTCAGTTCCTAGGGCTGGAGGTTTGTAAGGAAAAGTACTTGCTTTGCCTATCTGGGCTACAGCGAAGTCTCAATCTCATTTTTACTGAGGATTCCTAATTTGAGAAGATAATTCTAGATTTAATATTGCAATTCTCACCATTGGGCCTCTATTTAAGTTGCATCTCAAGTGGAAAGGGGTGTGAGAAAGAAAACCAGATTCTGCTGCAGACAAAAGTACTTCACAGGCTGAAGAGACAGATGGCATTTGGAACGGTAGCCCTTAGATTGGGAATGGGAGTCACATAAAACTACACGTCAAACCATTATGTTGGCATCTCATACTCTACTAAGTGTGAGAATCTCCCAAAAGGGTTTCCCAAGTCTTTCAAGCACAATTCACAAGGAGCTCGCAATTCTTCTGCATCATCCAGCTTTCAGTGAGATGAACTTGACAGACGTTAGTTGTGTCTGGTTGTGTGATCAAAGCAGGAGCTGAACAGCTACATTGTGCTCTTCCATACTTAATGTGAGATATATCAAAGCTTGGAAATTAATCTACCACTTTTATTGTTCTGCTGCACATTAACTATGGCATAAAGGATTTGCTAACTGGAAAGTTCAGAGCCTGTAACCCTGGTATTGTCTGCAGAACAGTTGAGGTACTTTTTGGACATTGAAGAGTTTTCTTGTATCCTATTGCTTGCTCTGAAAACACTGGCTTCACAAGGTCATGGGAAACACACCTTATCTCTTGCTCCATGAGAACTTCAGCACAGGCATGTGGTCTCACAGACAGCTTGGATGGTAGGTGAGAGTCCCAGCTCAGCGCCCTGCCCCTCAGGAAAAGCCCTTGCTAGTTCCCCCTTAGCAACTCCCACTTCCCAGTTGTGGGTGGCCTGGCCATCCTGACACCCAGGGATCTCCTTTGGGACAGTGTCCTCTGAGGCTGTTCGTGGATCTGAGCCCTCTTTCTGGCCAGTCCCTCCCCAGAGCTTCCCTGCTCCTACGGGACATGCTGGCAAGCCACTCTTCTTGCACTTCAATTGCTTGGAGCAGATGCAGGGGCCGAATTTCTTCCCACCAGTTCCTTTGTATACAGAAGCACTTTGTTGTCACTGTGAAGTAGGAGATCAGCCTCACTTGGGTTTTTGCTTTTCTTTTCCAACAATGATGCACCATCCTGTGCCTTTCCACTGACCCTCAACTGTGGGCTGATGCACCCAGCAGGTGCCATGCTGAGCAGGGGCTCCCGCCTGTGTTTTCTTAAGGCTACACAATAGTGTATCCACGTTACTCCCTCGACCCTGCGCTTCTGCCAGGCAAGACACCTGTCAGTCAGGAGAAGCCCTTCAGTGGATCTCAGTATGAACATGCAGGCCCACACTGAGCATCATGGAAGCCACAATGTAGAGGTAGCTGAAGTTGATGTACAGCCACCAAGCCAGGTGGAAGAAGATGGGCAGTGTGTGGGTCAGCCCCTTGCAGAAGACCCCACAGAAGCAGGCAGCAGACGAGCACGACAGCGTGACAGCGAGGTCCCACAGAGCCGCCACCATATAGAAACCAGTGCTTCCACTGCCTGCCTGCCCTCCTGGTCTCCACCCTGTTGCCCAGGGGCGGAGGGGCCTGCACTCCTTGAGTGAAGGAGGCGGTGGCTGGTAGGTGGGCCGGTGGGCTGCGGAAGTGACTACGGGAGCTGCTGCTGGACCTGGAGCAGCTGTGTGGCCTCCCTCACTTCCTTCTTAAGGGTAAAGAAGAATGAAATAACAACCGAGACACAAGGAGTTTGAAAAGTACGTAACAATTTTTTTTTTTATTTACAATCAAGTTCTGTTGGGCCACATAATTAAATAAATAAAAGATGTGCCCTGGCCTGTGAGTTCCAACTTCCCTCCACACAGTTCTCTGGATGGCAAACCGAAAAGTGAGGTGTAGGCAGGGAAAAGAAGAATGAGAGCATACCTCAGCCGAGGAAAGGCTGCCTCATTCCTCGTCCCTCGTTCTAACACTCATGCCCTAACTGTCCAGAGAACAGGTGTGGAAGAAAATAAAGTGCAAATTAAAATGTGATACAAACACGGTGCTTCACCCAGACATAGGACTAGAGTCTTCTACACGGATAAAATGGTAGAGAAAAATGCTTTTCCCCAGCCCTCATCACAATCCGTCTCCTGGACTGGGCCTCTTGTGTGAATGCTGGGGTCACTGCATGCAGGCCTGGCAGGCAGCAGTAGCTGCACTCACCACTGCCACCTCCAGAGCAATACATTTGAGGCCTCAAATCCCGTGACCAGCACAAGAGTGCAGTGACACAGGACATGTTCCTTCCTCTACTGCAAGTCCACCTAACTGGGAAATGTTGGCACATCCTCTCCTATCTCAATAACAACTTTTAAGTTTTAACAATTTAAAAATCTTTAAAGATTTTTTTGTCGACCAAGAAACAGATACATGGAAGTGTTGGAAAGAAGATAGCCACAAGCTTTGAAGGGTGGCAGAAGAGACTCAGAAGTTTCAGCAGTAGTAAGACGAGATCACAACCAAACTCCCTGTATTTGGCATTTCTACTAATCCTATGCTTACAGCAAGTCCAGTGGGCAAACGACCCCAAGGCAAGGGACTGTGCATCGGGCCAGAACTGGCTTTGGAAGGAGAGAAGCACGGGGGAGCCAACACCTGATGTGTGGGTGGCTGGCACTGCAGCCAGTGGAGAGACCAGCAGGGGCCCTGTGTTTCCCGATGAGGTATGGAAGCTCAGAGCTAGTAGTGTTTCCACCCGGATGGAGGCAAGAACTCGAACCTCTGCCAGGTGACTGCAGGTTCAGGTGGTTTCAGTGTTGATTCTTCTAGGCCATTAGAGACCTCAAAGTTCTCAGAAATGCTGTTTAAAGGAGGGCCCCATGCCACATGGCTCAAGCTCTTCTCTGGGAGGCCACACCACCCACCAGGTCAGAGCTGAGGGAACCTCCATGCAGCTCATAGAGCTGTCAAGGTTGAGCCCATAGCACAGCTTTGCTTCCTTTGTCCACACTGATGACATGCAAGCCGGAGGGGGCCCACGCCACCGCATTGATGGAGGAGCTTCAAAGAGAGCAGAGAGCATCAAGTTTGTGAGCATTTGGGTTGAAACCTCAGTCAACCCCACACAGACTCGGGTAGGTGGAGAATCTGGCTGTGCCCACCCACACACAACCATGCTGTATTTTAAGCAGTATTGGATTAAAAGAAGATCAGCTTCCTTGGCAGCTGGCAGAGGTGACACACTCAACACAGGGGGAGTCTGAGTGGTGGCTGCTGCCTGAGGGCGGTAAGGACAGACAGGTAGCCAGTGCCTACATTTCTAAGTAGCAGATAGAGTTGGGTAGGCAAAACAAGCCAAGAAAAGGAGAAGTGTGGGGGCTGCTCATGGTAGAAGGTAAAGAGAAAATGTGAAAATCAGCATTCCCACCTCGACTCACTGAAAAAAGGGAGGTTCAAGGAAAGGATGGAGCTGGAGGTGTGGCTCAAGTGGTAGAATGCGTCTTGCAAGTGTGAAGCCCTGAGTTCAAACTCCATACCGGAAAAAAAGAAAAAAAAAAGGGCTGGTGGCCTGCAATCCTAACTACAGGGTAGGCAGAGATCAGGAGGATCACAGTTCAAAGCTAGTCTAGGCAAAGAGTTCTCAAGACCCTATCATAAAAATACGCAACACAAAAAAGGGCTGCAGAGTAGCTCAAGGGGTAGAACGCCTGCCTAGCAAGTGTAAGGCTCTAAGTTTAATTCCTAGTACTGCCAAAAAGAAAAGGAGGAATAGGGAAGAGGAAGGAGGGACAGAGAAGGCATTTCTCTGACCTTTTCCCCAAAGGACAATGACTCTACCTGGGGCATCTGCAGTCTGCTCTACTGGGTGACAGTGAAGCCTGAGCAAGGGAGCAGGTGTTACCCTCTAGGGGCCCACTGAGGACAAAACCGATGGCTTAAAGTCATAGGTCCTGTTCACCACCTTCAGGTATGTAGGTGCAGGTGCTGATGTGGTTCACCTTACCTGTGCTGTTTGGAAAGAACCTTCTCCACCTTCCCTGTGAGCACACTCCAGACATAGAGAGAGCCCTCAGCTGAGCCTGCTGCCACGTAGCTGCCGTCGGGGCTGAAAACAGGAAAAGAACACAAGCTATGAGCCCTTCTGGAGTCCTCATGGCTCTCTTCCCAAGTAATGCTTTGCTGGGCACTGGTGGTTCACACCTGTAATCCTGGCTACTTGGGAGGCTGAGATCAGGAGGATCATGGATGGAGACCAGCCTGGGGCAAATAGTTTGCGAGACCCAATTTCCAAAATAACCGGAGTAAAATAGACTGCAGGTGTGGCTCAAGAGGTAATGTACCTACTTTGTAAGCACAAGTTCAAACCCCAGGCCTACAACAACAAAAAGTAATGTTTCTTCATGTGACAGTCAAATGCATGGCCCAGACTGTAGGACATGTGATATGCATAAGTGGTGCCACCCAGTCTGCTTTCTTTACCTGTTAATGGGCCTTATCCAGCTACTGAAGAGCAGTGCCCCACTGCTTCTTGAGGCTTCAAATCCCCAACCATCTGTCAGATCAGACAACACATAGGGAGCCCAAGCCAACCTCCAAACAGCTAAAGGCTATGTGATGGGCAGGCTTGCTGCATGACTCAGCGAGGAATGGAAAGGAAAAGGAGGAATCAGTGGGTAGACACTGATCCCCAGTATAGAAGCTAACCCTGGAATACACAGCAAGAAATCAGTACTTGCTACAAAGGAGAACAGGCAGAAGAACTGGAGACCACCCCTAGAGTGCCTGTCTCCAAAAGCCCATTCAGTTCCACCCCAGGGATGCCAAGCCTTTTCCACCATTCCCTGATTACAGTTTTGCTAAACAGGTAGATGAAGAGGAAAACCTGACAGTTCCCCCAGAACAAAACCTACAGCCAGTCATTTATTTATTTATTTTTGGGTGGTACTGGGGTTTGAACTCAGGGAGTCAAGCTTGCAAGGCAGGCGCTCTTGTCACTTGAGCCACTCCACCAGTCCTTTTTGGTGTTGGGTATTTTTGTAATAGGGTCCTCAAACTACTTGCCTGGGGCTGGCTTTGAATCTTCCTGGTCTCTGCCTCCTGAGTAGCTAGGAGATAGGATTAATTAGAGGCATGAGCCACGGGCATTGGCCAGCCATTATTTTTTGGTGTAACATATTTATGTTCAAGTGGTAACAAAATTAGCACTACAAAGAGGACTAATGTGACCTTTAGGTTGGACAAATTGCACTCGATTCCCCTGAGTGGAAAATGCCTCCCCCAAACTTATCCACCAACCTGAGATTAGCCAAGCTGGGGGTAGGTGTGGCTACCAACCTGAAGACAACTCGGGTCCAGTCAGAGCCACACTTGAATCCAGGGGCACTGAAACACACAGCAAGCATGTCATCCAGAGAGTTCACCCAGCAGGATAGAAGCAGGGAGGGCTGGAGTCTGGACCTCCCACACCCACAGCTACCTGAAGGTCTGTTTGACAGTATTTGTGCGGAGATCAATGACTTTCAGCAGGTCATCCCGGGAGCAGCTCAGGAGCTCCGTCCTTTCTGGGTTTAAGTCCAGGGCAGTGATCTTCCCCAACAGCTCCATCTCTCGGACCACACTCTCTGATCTAAGGGAGACAAAAAGCTGAGAGACCTAACAGGGAAGTCAGAATGCTTCCACATTAACTAGTATGTTGTGTCACGGAAAAGAAAACGCTACCATCCAACTAGACGCTACAGCCTTGAAGGGCAGGAAGTCTGGCCCCATCCTCAGTGACTGCTATTATTTCCCCATTAACTCAGTACTACAGCTGTAGTTCTGAGTACTAGAATTCTAAATCAGGTTAAGAATTTTCTTTGTTTCTTCTTTTTTGTGGCAGTGGTGGGCAAAATCCCACTACTATTCAGGGTCTTGGGCTTGTTAGGCAAGAGCACTACCACTGAAGACATGTCCCCAGCTGGTCAAGACTTTTCTTGTCCGTTTTTAGAGTAACAAAACAATCGCCAATCAGAATTAATGATAAGTAAAAGCTAATCAGGACCACTATCCAATTAGTATTCATTCTTTTTTTTCTCTCTCTCTCTGGGACAGAGGATTGAGCACAAAGCTCACAAGTATGCTAAGTACTTCTCCATCACTGAGTTATACCCCAAACCCTCAATTAGTACTATTTCAATGATCTCATTTCAGCTTTTGGACAAGGCTGGCACAAAATTGCTTTAATGGGTCTGACGAGTCGTTTGCAAGCATCCTGTCACGCTCAGTTCAGCTCAGGTCCTCCAATGGGGCTAAAACTTCATGGAACTGGGAAACTCAGGGCAGTCACAGCCCTGTGCACCCCCATTTCTGCTTTTACTAATTCTCTTCCACATCTCAGGCCACATAGGTCAATTAACAGCCATCTTACCAGGGCAGGATCCTACTGGTAATACTGCCAAAAGAGGTGCTAACCCTTCTGTACAGATTTTGCTGTAAGCTTTCAATGAACTTATTTTCTACCTTAAGTCTTATTATCACTAAGTATGTGGCTTGAGAACCCTACTCTACTTCCTTGGGACTAGGGGTCTTCATCAATCCAACTATGGGGTGGACTAGGAGACTTGTAACATCCCCTTTCACTCTATAATTCCATGTTTTGAGGTCAAACTTCAGGTTTAAAAAAGCTAATCAATGGTTAGAAATAAAACTTGCACTGAGGTCTAGGAGCCACAAACTCCTATATACTGCATTTCGAAGCATCACCTGTAATGGCTCCTCCTTTGCAGGGGAACTACCAGGGCTCCAGCTGCCCTCCCTCCAATCAGATCACCAGCCTTCTATATCCATCTCCTCAGCAACCAACCAATGGCCTCATTTTATTGGATGAACTTCTCTTGTTCCTGACAACTCTACTCCTCCCAACTTTCTTTCTACTTCTGAACACTCCTTGGGTTGCTCCCTAAAATGCTGTCCCTACTAGTCTCCTGCTGTGAACTCGGATCCTCTTTAGTACTTTGTTTTCCCTGGGTTTCAATATGCCCTCTAAAAAGCAGCACTAAAATCATCTACCAGAGCCTTATGAAGCCATCATTCTCCTCAACACACAATGGCTCAAGGATCAAGACACCTAGAAGTGGCTTAGAAAGCCCATGGACATTTGTTCTCAACTCACCCTTTCAGTCTCAGTGGCCTACACCCCACTTCCACATGTCAGCCTCACTAGCCCTTTCTGCTCCAGACGAATATTCAACATCCTTAAACAAAGGTAGCCATCTTTGTTATCTTCCCTGCTTCATTTTAAATTGCTTAAAGATAGAATGAGTAGTTCATCACCTCTACTCGCCTAGCAGTAGTCTACTTCCTGTTAAAGAACAGCAAGCTGGCCAGGCATGGTGGCTCATGCCTGTAATCCTAGCTACTTGTGAGGCTGAGTAGTTCAAAGCCAGCCCAGGTAAATAGTTTGAGACCTTACTTCCAAAATAAAAAATGGACTGGAGGTGTGGCTCAAGCGGTACAGCATTTGTTTTGCAAGCACAAAGCCCTGAGTTCAAACTCTAGTTCCACCAAAAAACAAAACAAAGCAAAAACAAAACAACAAAAAAACAAAACAAAACAAAACAAACCCCACACTCTTGAGATACAGGTATCCTGGAGCTCATTTCTACCACTTCCTGAGATTTTAAAAACTTAACCCATATAACAAAGCATCTTTACAGCTGTATGTGCAGACCCTTGTCTACCTCCCCACCAAGCTCTTGGGTGTCATACCGGATGTCCCAGAAACGAATTTTCTTGTCAAAATGTCCACTCATTACACATTGCTCTGTGCAGACAATATCATTGCAACTGGATCCTGCAAACACTGTCTTTATGCCTGAAAGAAGATCAAACATCACTAGTCAAGCAGAGGCACCCACTTGGCTATGTACACAGCAAACTACACACTAACCACTAAACTATCTGAATTATGAAAGTAAACGAAACTTCATGCAAGAACAACTATCATTACTTCACTATCTCATTACCCCTGACTAAAACCGAGCCCAAAGTTCAAGCTGTATCACATGAAATATAAGCTGATATGGAAACAATACTTTCATAGCTAACGTCTACACAAACACACAGAGAGACCGAATTTCCTCACAGACTTTGCTGCGTAGATCCCAGAGTTTGAGGGTCCGGTCGTGACTTCCCGAGACGATCCGTGCATTGTCCAGCAGGAATTTAGCAGACAGCACTTTCCCACTGTGTCCTGTGAGTGTGTGCTAGAGAGAGAACACAGCTGGGGTGAGCTTCAGGTACTATACACTGGCCACACTGGAGGAGTGGCCAAGGCACCCAGAACTCTGAGCCAGTCTTGAAATACCCCAAGATCCAGCCAGGAACTCTCACACAAAACAATAAGAAGACAAGAGAAAATAAACACTTAGGAAGCACAGTTTCATTCATGTAGGCCCAACCAAATAGGCCGCATATTTCATATGAAGCAGTTTCAGTTCAGCAGTAGCATTTCTGGCCTGCTGTGTAGCTTGCAGAAATTTCCATAAAGTCTGTCTTGGGTATTTCCCACAGGTGAGGTGTTACTATGGTGGACCCTGAATGCCCCCAAAGGTCCATGTGTTAAAGGCTTGTTTTTCAGGCTGTGGCACTACTGGGAGCTGGTGGAAACTTTATGAGCTGGGGCCAGTAGGAAGGAGTTAGATCATTGAAGCCATGCCCTAAAGGAGACTGGGTGGGGTGGGGAGGAAGAGGTGGTGCTGGCCCCCCTTCTTGTGTTTGCTTTTCGGCCACCATCAGATGAACAGGTTCCCCTGCCATACATTTCCTGCCACGATGTACCATGCCACCAAAGGCCTAAAACGATGGGGCCAAGGAACCATGCAAACCACGAGTCAAAATAAACCTCTCCTCTTTTAAAGTTGCTTATCTTGGATATTTTGTTACAGTGACACAGAGCTAATACAGGTATAACAAGAGGATAAAGTATGTCTAATTCCAACACTGAGAAGGCTGAAGCCAGAGGATCCCTTGAGCTCAAGAGTTTGAGACCGGCCAGGGCAACACAGGAAAACCTTGTCTCAAGAAAAAAGGTAAATCTCCCACTAAAAGTAGCATTAAATACAAACCAAACATCATAAGCACCAAGCTTCATGTGCCCCTCACATCCTCAAAAGGGGAGGAACAGCAGGAAGATGTTTTTGAAGTCAGTCCTTGAAACTTTTTCGGAAGTTTAGATTTTATCAAATTAAAAAAAAAAATCTAAAAAGCCTGGGTTTGATCCAGTACTACTGAAAGTTAGTTTTACAGTAAAGAAAAATAGACAGGACCACACAGGCATCATTTACAAAATGATTAGGACTATACATAAATGTTTGAACCCCTGGGGTGTTTTCAGTCAGCGGTCTCAGCTGGAACTGTCAGACCAGACACCAGTACTCCCAGCATCCAAAGCCCTTGGCCACCAAGCTGTTACATGCCAATCTTGCCATCTTCCCTGGACTCATCAGGGAACCCAAAATAGGGACATTGCTGCCTGTCAGTTCCCCTTTTACCTTATCAGAGCACCACTGGAGGCTGATGGGAGACAGGCTGATGGGAGAAAGGCAGCTGGGGTCGGGAAAATCCTGGGAGGCGATGTGGGGGTCAGACCTTTACTATTCATGTTTACCTCTTTTCAGAGTGGGACTGATTTTTATACAAGTAAAACCGCAAAGTCAGAAGGTATTCACTAATGTTTTCTAATTTAAAAAAGAATGACTCTAAAAAGTCCAAAGAGAAGTAGAGATGATTAAGAAACTGAAAGGGTGACCCATGGCCTCCACTTTAGCTCATTTCTAGGACTGGGTCATACAGCTACACCAAGCTAAGGATTCCACTTCTTAAAACAGAGCAGGAAGAATGGATACTAAAAAATAGCTATCAGCATATGTGCTACCTCCTTCCACCGCCTTTTATTCTCTATATCCTACTGAGTTTTTTCTTCAAACTATTTCACTCCTGATGTAGCTTCTCATTCTGTTCAAGAGTACATAACACCCAGGTATTGGAGCTCACAGGACTCTAGTAAATACAGTCTGAATGGGTGAATTGCTAATTCAAGTGTGGGGGTTGGTGTCAAGAAAATAAATTAATTACACAGATCTAGCCCTGACACAAGTGGTGCTGTGGGCAGTGGTATTACAGTATGAGCCACTGCACCAGCCATCATCCATCTCAAATATCCAAGTAAAAAATGTATGCTTTACCTGGGAACAGTGGCACATTTCTATAATCCCAGCACTTGGGAGACTAAGGCAGGAGGATCAAGTTCAAGGCCAGCATGGCCTACCCAGTGAGACTGAGAGTCAAGAGGAATAAATGGTTAAGTAAGTTATAGTTCACCACAGGATGAGGTACAGTGTAGCCATGAACACTGGCTGGGCAATTGTTCCACGTTAGGGCACAGAACCACAGGGCTTCAACTGAAGCTATGCTCTAGAATTTGGACAGATGAAGGCTGTGGCAGTCCCCTACCCAGTCACTACCCTGGTTCTTCCTTCAGATAACACAGGGCAAGCTCTTTAGCATTCCTAATGGGTATCTTTGTTGTTATCAAGGCTCATGCTTTACATGTTAGGACTTGGACCTTCTTCCAACTGAGAATCAAGACTGGCTGTCCTCAAGAAACTGGCTAGCATCTACTACTGCAAATCCTCCATGCGGCTCTGTTAGAAAATGGAAGGTCTAAGTGATACATTAACTCTGCTTCTAAAGACTCTTCTTCTTCATCCCCACACTATCCAATCTGACAACCAGAACCCTATCGAGAAACACCATCCTACTACAGTCTGAACACACGAAACATTCATCTTCACATCATGCCATTTTTTTGTGTAGGATGACACAAAAACAGCTTGTGTTAAACTTTTTTCTTTTTGGTAAAAAGCCACCAATGCCAAATTCATTCTGTGTTACGTCTTTTTTGAGGCTTTAATAAGCTTATGTGACGATTCTTTCATGCTCAAGGAGAAAAACATCTCTTCATGTTGTAAGTCACACGCTCAGCCAGGTGCCGGTGCCGCATACCTGTAATCTAGCTACCTGGGAGGCTGAGATTGAGAGGATAGAGTTCAAGGCCAGCCCAGGCAAATAATTCAGGAGACCCTATTTCCAAAATAACCAAAGTAAAATGGATTGGAAGTATGGCTCAAGTGGTAAAGGGCATGCCTATCTAGCAAGTGCAAAGCCCCGAGTTCAAATCCCATTCCCTCCACATATACACACACACAGCCCAGATGAAACAGACACAGTGGCAACTCTTTCTCCTAGAGACAGGGGCAAATTAGGGAGGAGCTAGGAACTGATCTCCAGAGCATCCATGACCGTTTGTCTCTGACTTCCTTAAGAATGGCAGTAAATCCATATGGACTTTATATCCTACTTTCCAGCTACACCTTATGGGGTAATTTTTAGGTTTCAGGGCCCAAAAGAACTACAATTCATCTGCTGGTGGTAACATCTATGAAATTAAGCTAAAATTGGCATCTATGAAAAGTATCTAGTTCCTAGGAAGAGGAGCATCTCAAGTCTTTTATGAAAATGTGAGGGCCTCTTGCAATATGCTGCAGTTAAATCCTGGAAGAAGTGAGTGCAAAGTAGAAATGCAAATTATCTTACAAAGCAAAGAGTGAATTAAGTATGATTTCCAGGGAAGTGCACACAAGTCCCTTACTTAATCGTCTGTCATTTTCCCCCTACACTTTGTGCCTTGATAACAACATGCAGTTTGGAGTCTTAGTTGGTTCTTACCCGTAACCGATGATCATCCACAGTCCAGATCCGGCTTGCAAAATCATTAGAAGCTGCTAAGAGGTAAGCTCCCTATAGAAATAAAGAGAAAAAACAGCTTTTAGCTAATATACAGAAATTCAGCTCACATTACACAAATTTCCCAACAACCAAGTTCAAGATGTCTACACCTAAGCCAAATACCACCTACTATCACAGTGTGCTGCCATCTCACTTACCTCCTTCAAGTTCAGACCTTCCTCCTGTGCTCACTTGATTTCAGGTCAAGTTCAAAATGGAACTCAGCCTGCTCACTTTTTCTCCTTGCCACTTTGCTTAACAGCAAATACAAATAGTCTACATATTGCCCACACCAGAAAGTGTGGAGGCACCTCTACTCTTCTCTTTCCTCATTCCCTAGCTATCACTCTCTGAGGCTGTCCATTTTCCATGTGTCTAGTTAGCCCCTCTCCTCTCTAGTTTCACAGCCTCAGTCCCAACCTGAGAAGCACTAAAAGCACTAAGAGCTTGGGCCACTGCAAACTTGTCTTTCCCAATCCAGGCTTCGACATGTCATTTACACCAGAATTTAATGCTGTGCCTGTCCTTGTAAACTTCTCAGGCCAGAGATGCAGCTCAGTGGCAGAGCATTTGCCTGCTTAGCATGTATAAGATCCTAGGCTTGATTTCCAACACTACTGAAATTAAAAACAAAGAAATGCAACAGAACTCTCTCTGGGCTCCACAGAAGCTTCAACCCTTTGACATTGCATACACTGAGCAATATCCAGTTTTTCCAGGGTTATTTCCTTATCATTCACTCTGGTGGAGTGGCTTAAGTGGTAGAATGTCTGCCTAACAAGTGTGAAGCCCTGAGTCCACACCCCAGTCCCCCAGGTGTGTGTGGGGCAACACTAACAGTCTAGGAACTTGCTGGGGACACAAAGATGACTAAAACCTAGTTCTCATGCTACTGGTCTTGAGAGAAGAACTTGACAGCTACCTCTCCCAAGAAAGGGTTTGCACAAAATGTTCCATGATACAAGAGCAACTCACCTAAAGTGATGTGGGAAAGGCTCCCTCAAGATGACAGTAAGGGAGGTGGCACAAACAATACATACACATGTAAGAAAATGTAAAAATGATAAAAGGAAGAAAAAAAAAAGATGACAGTGAAATGAAGACCGTTTTTTTGTTTGTTTGTTTTCTTTGTCTGCTTCTGGGGTTTGAACTTAGGGCCTTAGGATTGCTAGGCAGCTGCTCCACCAATCCAAGATGAGGACTCTTGAGTGATGGAGATACTACCTAGCTACTTCACAGACCTGCTCGAACTCTTATCTCTGCCTCATCGGACTGCAACGCCTACACTTGGGCTTTTGCACCTGACCCTTCATTACCTCATGTTCTGTCTCAACTGGCAGAACCCTAGAATGAACTGCTCACTACATCACCTTGGTGCAAAGACCTGAAATTAATGCTTACAAACCACTCTCATTTAAATGGCAATTCCTTGAGGGTAGTGACCACAAAAATGGAATTAGTGCACTGAGTATCACTACAAGCCTAACGCACAAACCAGAACCTCAGAATTTATCAGTAGACGTACCAATTAGTTCTATAATCTATGCCTATCATTCTCGAACATGGATTTGACTTAAGATATAGAGAATGGCAGAGAAACCAGGTAAGTTAACTTTAATTTCAATAATTAGTTGTTTTACACTGTTTTTCAAAAAAGACATTAGATACTTACAGCGCTATCAAATTCAATGCTTGTAATTCCAGCATTACTGCCAGATAGGGAACCCTTGAACTCACATTTATCTGCATAAAAAGATTGAAAAGACCGGAAGTTAAAAGTCAGTGAGTTTAATGGGCACTGAAATACAATGGAAACCAATTACACTGTTAAAATAGGAGGTTTCCTATACCCTTGCAGAATCAGACTGCAAGACAAACAGTATAAGAGACAAAATACACTGCTGGTCTTTTTTTTTTATTTTTTAATTTAAAATTTAAAAAAAATGTAATTAAAAAAAGAAAAAGCTTTTTAAAAAACAGACTTTTAAAAGACTGCTGGTCTTTAACAGCAGTGAATGTTTATGTAGATGCAGATGCTGGCATTTTGCATGTGTTCTTTACAAACAGGTAAGTACAGAATTTCATAAAACATGTCAATTGCACTAGAGACTGAATTTATTTAGTTCCATTATTTCTCAGACAATTTTCTAATTTACATGTGTTAATCTCTGGGTTTGATCATTATTTGTGCTAACTACCACTTTTGTAGAAACAGATCACCTGAATTTCAGAGTACATGGTGTGGTAATTCTCATTAAAGTGTGAGAATAAATTTTTAAAACTATATTTAACCGAGTAGTCAGGAAAATGCTAGTAAAGCTTTATTTGGAGTTTCTGGGATTTGTCCTTAATTCTCTCTTCACGAATCACCTGCCTCCCTGTTCACAATCTTCCCTCTTCAACAGAGTCCACAGCACCTCTCCTGCTCTCATCTCCTCAGGTGTTTAACTGACCAAGTAAAACAAAAATCTTTCCTAAGCTTTCTATTTAATCTCAATAGCAGGAGAATGATGGAGGGGGTGAATTCAAGTATGAGAGCTTGTAAGAACTTTCGTAAATGTCACAATGTACTCCCAGCACAACAAAAATAACAATAATTTAAAAAATTATTATGGGTGAAGCTGTTATAATAAAGCTCTATCATAAGAAGAATCTCTGAGCAAAACAGCACATTTGCAAGGGCTTTGATGGGCTGTGACAACAAGGGATTTAACTACGGAGCCAGTTTCCTGCAAAGCAAAGGCCAGGGCAGACAAGTACAGTGCTTTACCAATAAGTTATCCTAAACAAAGGGATTAGTAAGTACATTTGTTCTACCAAATATCAAATTTTTCAGTTGTTCTATAGGCTAAAGAAGGCATCAGTGTTGACAGCATGGGATTTCTTTCTTTTTGGCAGTACTGGGGATTGAACTCAGGACTTTGTGCCTTCTCGTAGTGTCAAAAAAAAAAAAAAAACAGCATGGGTTTCCAAGTCATACAACTTAGTAAGTCCTGGCTTCACTACCCACTTGCCATGTAGGTCATTTTCTAACCATGAAAACCAACTATGTCAACCAAACAGTGTCTGAATTTATTGTTTTCATCTGTCAGACAGGGACGAGATCTACTTTTTTAACAGCACAGGGCTATTGTGAAACTCACAGAAATTAATAAATGCACACTCATTGGAGCTATCGGGGAACTAAAAATGTACCTGCAACTATGCAAATCTGAAGAAATGCTTTCTATAAAAACCTTTAGCCTTCTTCCTTAACCTAATTTTAGTAACAATATATTTAACTGAATCTCAAAAATGTCAAAATTGGACTATGCCTTGCTTTAAAATACTGAGATGTTTTTATCAACTCCCATTTTGCTCAATACATGGTTTTCTACGCAATTCTCTCTTTTCTCAAGTTTTATTTTTTTCTCTAGGCCATTATTAAATGCATAAGCCACAGCCTGAGGGCTGGTGGAGTGGCTCAAGTGGTAGGCCCTGAGTTCAAATCCCAGTACTGCCCAAAAAACAAAAAACAAAAAGCTTCCCCATAAGTCACAGCTTGATGTAAGTTTAAATACAATGATTTATTTGCTCTTAAAACTGGCACTATTTTGCAAGATGCTCTGAGAAAAATTATCAAACATTTGTTAACCCAAACATATTCCTAAGAGTGTTTTGCAGTCATTACTTTGAAAATCAGTAGATGTCCACTCAGATGTAAAGAGCAATCAATGTGCTTTAGTCAGATAATTTCTTATATAAAATACTGCACGTTTTTAAGATAATCCAAGGGGTATCTGGAAGCAAGGTCAACCAGACGCCACTAACAGCTTTTTCCTAGACCCCCATGGGCTCTTACCTCCAAATGCTTCCCACAGCTTAACCCGTCGGTCCATGCCTCCTGTGGCTAGTAACCGAGAACCTGGACTAAACTGCACAGCATTGACTTCCCCATCGTGTGCATCCTGTAAGACAAACACTCTTGTTTCAAACCCAGTCATCAGCCATGAAACATATATATTCTCTAAATGCCTAGCTTAGGCAAAACACTCATCTTTAAACAGGGTGGACCCAACCAAAAACTAAAGTAGACTCAGAGCCAAACATTTTGTTCTTACAGCTACAATTGCCTCTATTCATTCGATTATCCAGTATCTCACTATGAGCTCCTGCATAGCCTCCTGAGTGCTGGGATTATAGCTGTACATTACCACGCCCAGCTCACATTTATTTACATACAGTGTATTTAAATAATCTAGAGCAGACTAGCTGCCTAAAGTTTGTCTTTGCATTAGCATGCACTAGCATCATGACCTGTGCAAATTTAAACACTTCACGCCTCAGGTTGTTCATCTATGGAAAAGGTTTTTGTGATCAAAACCTGTGCCTAAAAATGAACAGGACATAGATAAAAGCTATCAGTTGTTATCTTGGCAGAATTTTCAATTCTCCATAGGAAACTTTCTCTCTTTCTTTATGAGTCAAGGTCTCATTATCTCTACCAGCTGGCCCTGAACACCAGATCCTCCCGTCTCGACCTCCCCAGTGCTGGGAATACTGACACAGGCCACAAAGTTCAACAATATACTCTCTTCATAAGGGCAGTGAATATGGAAATATTTCCGGGTCAAGTTAATGTCTGGGTTTTGCTTGAAGCCCTACAAAGTGAGGGGAGATGGATGTCACTGAGAGAATGTAACTGGGAAATAAGGTGATCTGATTTTCCACTTTCTTGCTCACACTCCAGTGATGAAATTTTGCATGCCAAACTGCTTACCTCCATGCAATTTCCTCTTTTTTAAAAGAAATTTCTTTTTCCTAAGGAGGTCTCAGATTGAAAACTTGAGATCATGCACTCTCACACCCTTCCTGCCACTCCTCAGACTCCTTTGTAACTGGTTCTGTTGGATACTAGTCAGCTGTGAACCACTCACTCTTGGAACACACACTGACAGAATCCCAAACTATCAGCAGCTCCACTATCCCAAGCACATGACTTAATGAGCTGAGGGGGAAAAATGGGCTGCTGGGAGTTGAGGGCAAGGAAGGGGCTGTGATATTCAGTGCTATCAGACCTTTTACCAATCATCATTGACCTCTGTGAGGTGCCTAGGCCCGATGGGATCAAAGGAGTGGGATGGGAAGGTTAAGGGGCTTTGCCGTTCCCCAATCCAACTCCTCCCACATAGCAAGACTTTACTCAACAAGCAAGGCTCAGCCAGCTCACGACCTACAAATGAACTACTAATGAAGTTCCTCCTCATGCCTGGAACTACAGGCACCCATCATCTAAATGCCACTCCATTCTTATTGAAAGCCTTTCCTTAAAGCAACCTGTTAGCAATCCCCTACCCCCAATTAGTGATCAGGCCAATCTCAGCCTCAGTCTAATTCTATATTCTGCTCTTCATGCTTCCCTGCCCTCCTTACTCAGTGCCCTGACAGCTCTAAGCTAGGTATGCTTTCTCACATTGGCTCAATTACCCCAGGTGGGACACAGATTAGTACCAGGACACTGCTCTGAACTCAAGGTGACAATCGATATTGCAGTGGCTTCTGCCAGCCACTGTGTCCACCTTCTAATCACAGGCTCTTAGCAGTTGGAAGTCATACAGATAGGAGTTTAATTTATGAAACCAATTGTTGTCCTGCTAGACTTCCAAAGCAAACATCAATCTAGAATCTCACTCTAAACTGGAGCTTCCTGCCAGGCGCAGGTGGCTCACACCTGCAATGCTAGCTACTCAGGAGGCAGAGATCAGGAGGATCTCTGTGTTACAGAAGATGTTCTGAAGTCTAAGGGAAAATCTCGTTGCAGCCCTAGAAAGGACTCTTTAGTGCCAGGCCCGACTACCACTCCATGCTCAAAGGGACAAAGCATACTTACAAAGACACACAAGGCAGTAGTTGGCACCCTCACATCTTTACCAGAAACAGGATGGGTATCCATATTGTCCTGGGGGACTGGAAAGGAAGAGACAGAGCGTCTCCTAAGGAACAACACAAAGGTAGACATTGTCAGGACTACACAGGATCAGTGTTCACCAAGCTACCACAAAGACTTCAAAATCATCTTTGCTTAAGTAGCCTGTCTTTCTCGATAGTTTTGTTTTTTTCCTTTCTAGACCTTTAAACCATAAGATTCACAAAATCAGAAGCATCCCACTCAAATAACAAGAAAGAGAGCCAGCACATACCTTATTCTCGGGATTGCTAGCTCATGAGCTCCAAAACTCAACAATGAGAAGCAATCCTGAACAATCACTTACCCTATCAAAGAACTGCTAGGGAATGTTCTCAACAGCTAGTTCACAGGTGGCTCTCTGGCATTTTAAGGATGCGATTTTAAGGATGATTTCTACGCCTAGTTACAATTACACTTGGCCTACACTTCTGGTCAAGGCAGAGTCAATGCATGCCAACAGAAAGAGCGCCAAGAGCGTGATGACTGCACAAGGAGCTCAACCTGACTGCCCAGCTTGGAGGGCTACGAGCACTCATTCCTAGGAGCATGCAAAGCGCCCTGGTTAGCATGTGGACATCTGGCGATCGCGGGGAATTCAGCGTGATCAGCATGATTATCAACGACCCACACTCACATGCTGGGCTAAGAGAGGGTAATATTTTCACCTGGCAGCATCAGAAGAAGAATGATGTCCCAAAAGGGGAGACTCGGACAGACTAAAGAGAAAGGCCAGAGATCAGCACGCAGCGGGATTAAGAAAAGGGAAGTTGCAGAAAAAAGGAAAAAGCTAAATGAAAAGCCAAAATTAAGGCATCTGTATTTTCTGTACCACTGAAATTCTGGTGTACATTTAAAAAATAAATCACGCATATATGCTTAGGTTTATTACACACATTTTTTAAATGGAAAGGTGAAGGTCTTCTAACCTACCCAAAGATATTAGTGATAGAATCCAGAAGGCCTCCAGCAGGCTGCGAGAGTCGCTTACTAAAGAGGAGGGGAGGATAGGTTTAAACCTTAGAAACATTTTGCCCAAATAATCAACACAGTCCATAAAAATAGGTACCCGGGAGTGTGTTCCCCACTTAATTCCCAAATCCCAGCCAAAAGAAACTCAATGCAGTATTTGAACTACCAGGAAACAGTGGGAAGGTAGAAGGGAAAACCCAGCCTAGAAGTTATACAAGAAACAAGCTTCCCTAGGATAACATTAATTTCTCTGGAAATGAAGCCTTAGCTGAGGAATTTGTCTAACTGAATTTCTGGGTGTCAATAACCAATTCCCATTCTTGAAGTTGTATTTTAGCAAATTTAAAAGAATCCTCGAGCCCCAGGATCTGAACAGCCATTCTGCCTAATAAGGTTTAACTATCCACCTTTGAGGAAGCCACTTCATCTGTTTGTGTTTACAAACACAAGGCCACCTCTGCTCTATTTCTCTCCCACTTTCATTAGGTGGAGGTGAACCAGAAGCCTGTACCTCTCTGGTATGTAAGAGGATGGCTGATCTACCAAGAAGGTTCAGGAGACTGTGTGCGCTCAACTGAATTCCTGTCATGTGTGATCAGAAACCCCCTGCCTGCCCCGTCTACTCACGTAGCTGCTCTGCTGATGGCCCTCACGGGGGAGGTGTCCTCTGTGTGATCTGAGGCTTCATCCACAATGACTTCAATATCATCATCCCTGGAAAGAAGGGCAAGAGATTCTCTCATTCTGCTGAACAGGAGCATTGCAACCAATCAGTTCTGCAAAAGTCAGTATCATTTTCTATTGAGACACCCTATGGGACTTGGCTATGACAGTGATGGTGAATGGTTCTCTTAAGAACGAGAAGAGTTGCTACTTTAGAAAAAAGAACACCATACCTGTTTAAATCCAGAATACCAACTGAGAACAGCTTTGAAAAGCAAAATCTTAACACAATTCGCTTTTGTCTCCAGGTATCTTATGCTTATGCTTAAACACTTGGGGCTTCTGAAGTCTGGAGAGTCCAGTACATTCCAAGTGGTATCACCCAGCCACACAGATACAAAGCTCCTCAAGAAGTCCCCTTCCTCCACATTTTTATAGACCAAGTCTTTCCTGATGGGGGCTAGTGGGGGCAAGCAATTATTTTGGTCTTAATGACCTCCCACTGAGCTGCAATATTCCTGGAGAAATAAACTAATAAAATGTAATAGCCCAAGACTTCATCACTTACTGCTTAGATTTTTAAAAATTTGAAAGCACGATTTTTTTTTCCTATGGATTTCTACTTTAACTTTTCTATGCATAAGAATTCGTTATGAACCAAATTAAACCATGTCAAAGTAAATTTACTTTCCTTTATTCACTCTAGAATTAAATATAATTGCCCCACATTCTTGGCCAGGATGTAAAAAAGAATAACGAGAACAAGGCTATGGCCAATTTCCTTCTTAGCTGGCCTTCAGATCTAGGCTTGGGGCAATCACCTGTGTTCAGAAGCACAAAAGGAGCACCACAAAGATGCCAAGAGGAGCAAAAAATATGACCATTTCATGGTCCTAAAATACCTGAAACTGTGCACAGGTCCAGTACCACAAGAAAATACTAGATCTCACTATTTCTTACTAGAACCCTCCAAAGATGTAACTAACTACCCTTTGACCCAGAAATTCCACTCCTCAGGAAGCACAGAGATTAAGAAAATCTCTACAGCCAGATGCCCTAAATTTGTACCTTAGCTCAGGCTTTTCCTATAATCCTGGATAGGATGTGTTCCACCCAGTCACCTAATTACACTGGCAAACAGGAGGCAGACAAATGACACTTTTTCAGGATCCAAATCTCATTTCCAGATCACCTATTTACTTTGTGGCTTTGGGAAAATGCCTCAGAGATCAGTTTTCTACACCTGAGAGGGCAAGACAGACACAGACACACATACAACCTCTACAGCAAATGTCTAGTATGAGAACCTTTGTCTTCTTACAAGACATGTTGGTAAGTATCCCAGTTCCTTTAGAATTTGTCCAGCAGGTTTTCTGGCTTATGCTGGAAAACTCCCACAGATAAAAAAGACATGTTGGTAGAAGACTCCTAACTGAATTTAAACCTCTTCTCCCCACTTACAATCAACATTTTAAAAAATGGTGGATCATAATTCTGAAAACATATTCCAAACATATTTCAACAGAAAAGAACCCATCCTAAACTACAGAAAAGAGAATTCTGTTATTATAATACCTACCACTCAAAGCAGAGATTCAAATCCCAGGGAAGATTCCCCACCTAAAGATGGGCAGATTAGGAAAACCTCCTGAATTGACTGAATTACTTTTGCTCTGAGAGATCACTACTTTACTTAATGTTTCAAAAGTTTGGCCAAACTTCCACTTAAAGCAGAAACCCCCAGCCCAGATTACATGGTGACAGGTACAATTAGAGGCAGACAAGTGATCAAGTGTCAACAGGAAGTAATGAGGTGTGCCATGTACAGGAAGTTAAGAGTCATACTCAGCTGATGAAGAATATAAACAGGAAAAACTTTTCTTTTTGGTGGCACTGGGGTTTGAACTCAGGGCCTCACTCTTCCTAGGCAGGTGCTCTTACTGCTTGAGAACATTCCACCAGTTGGAAAAACTTTTTGGAAGCTAATTTGACAATAAATAAGTTCTAAAAGATTTAACCCAACAAATCTTACTTTTAAGAATTTATTCTGCCGGGCACTGGTAGCTCATGCCTGTAATTCTAGCTACCTGGGAGGCTGTGATAGAGTATTGTGGTTTGAGGACAGCCTGGGGAAACGGTTTTCGAGATCCCATCTCCAAAATAAATAAATAACCACAGCAAATAGACTGCAGCTGTGACTCAAGTGGCAGAATGCCACCTGCTTTGCAAGCACGAAGCCCTGAGTTCAAATCCCAGTCCCACCAAAAAAATAAATCAATAAATAAAATCTATCACAAGTAAGCAACCTAAAGTCTCAGCATATCATTTGTAAATGTGTAATCAGAAGCTACCAAAATAAACATAACTAAAGTGATAAGAACATTACTTTCTGTGTAGAGTTACATGTTGTTTTCTGTCTTTAACGTTTCAGTTTTCTATTTAAAATCTGTAAAATAATCTAATAAAGACATTATAAAGCTGTTTGAAAAGATACAAATCAAAAGGGGAGAGAAGGAATAAGGAAGAAAGATACAAGGGGGTGAATCTTACAAGATATATCACAAGCACACATATAAATGTCACAATGTACAACTATTACATGCTTAAAAAAAAGAGAGAGACAAATCATTAATGGCAAAGTTCTTATTTATTTATCTCTACTTACTGTTCAACTGGCAGTGGTTCCTTTGCTGCTTCTGCAAGCTCTTTCTGCAGCCGGGCTTGACGTCTCCTGTTTTTAAAAAAGCCCACCATTTATGTCTGCTTAAAAAAAGCATGAGGTTCTCAGTCTGAAATTACTACTGAGGATTCCACTAACACATGTGAATTAAGTTTGGGCCAAAGACCCCCAAACTCCCAAACCCAACACACTGGTGAGGCTCCCCATTATAGGTTTAGATTCACCCCAAGATCAGTTATTAGGGAAAGGAAGTGAACTAGCAAGGAAGGAGGCCAGTCTGCTAGGCACCTCAGGATTAGAGGGGCTAGTCATGGTCATGACTAAGCTTTCTGCCGCAGTCTTATACAGTATTACATTTACGTAACCCACAGCATGAATAATGATAATAAAGATTTACTTAGGACTTTCTTGTACCAGCACGGTCTAATCACTTTAAAGATCTTTAACTCACTTAATTCTTCAAACAAGCCTTTGAGGTTTACATGCAGTGGTCCCCGGTATCTGTGAGAGATTGGTTCTAGAACGCCCCCAATGGGTATAACAAACCACAGATGCGTAAATCCCTTATATACAATGGCAAAGGATTTACACAGAACTTATGCACATCATTCCATAAACTTAAATGCTGTGTAGTTATTATACTGTGTAGGAAATAAAAAGTCTGTACATGCTCAGTACAAACTCCAATTTTTCACTGATTGTCTTCAATCTACAGATGTGAAGCCTATTGGTTAAGAATCAACTGTACTACTAATACCATTTACAGATGAATGAGGCACCAATATTTCACAATACAGTGAGGTAACATGAACTCCTCAACTGTCAAGAGTACATAACTGTTACTTTCTACTGCTAGACATAGAAGTCTTGGCTCTGCACAAATATAGTCAGCAACCTCATTCAGTCCCGTTCAGAATCATTTGTTCTCTCCTTACCAGTTCTAAATTTAGGAACTCTCTAGTTTTCATCCTTGACGGTCTCATTCTCCCTTCCTTTAAAATTTCACTTCTATGTGAAGCCTGCTATCCGAAACTCTAGCAATGTGTTTGGGCTCTAATCAAGAACTGTGCTGAGAGCCAAGCACTGGTAACACCTGTAAATCTGCAATACTAGCTCCTTAGGAAGCTGAGATCAGGAGGCCCAGACAAACAGTTCACAAGGCCCCATCTCCAAAATAACCACAGCAAAAAGGACTGGAGGAGTGGCTCAAGGGGCAGAGCGCCTCTCTTGCAAGAGTAAAGTTCTGAGTTCAAACCCCAGTATCACCAAACAAAACAAAACAAAATCCAAAAATTGTGCTGAAATTCCTTTTACCCCTCTCCCCTAGTGACAACTCTCAAATGGGAAGAAGTCCTATGGGTAGCTTATCAGAATCTTTGGAAGGAGTCGGGTGCCAGTGGTTGATGCCTATAATCCTAGCTACTTGGAAGGCAGAGATCAGGAGGACGGCTATTCAAAGCCAGCCCAGGCAACCAGTTTGCAAGACCCTATCTCAAAAATACCCAACACACACAAAAAAAAAACGGCTGATGGACCGGCTCAAGTAATAAAGTGCCTGCCTGGCAAGAGTGAGCCCGAGTTCAAATCCCAGTACTGCCAAAAAAAAAAAAAAATCTTTGGAGAGATGAGGGTACAGCTTGAAAAAGTATATTGCATTACTTCAGGACAGGATGAAAATTAAGTTTTACAGAAGAAATCATGAAAAAGCCAATTTGGCAAAACATTCTTATAGCTGAGAAAAACAATCCATGCACTACCTCTGAGGGAAAACCAGAATCTGGGCATGGGGAAGGAGTGCAACACGATTTTCCTGGGAAGGCACTTGCTGGCAGACCATCCCATGCCTCCTAACTTTGGGTCCCTGTTCTGCAAAGTGGGGATGAAAAACTGAGAGAGAAGCACACAGCGCCTGCAGCCAGTCAGTCATTAATGGAGAGAAGATAGGTGCTTCTCTGGTAGTTCAGATCTTCCCTTAACGTATCTTACACAGCAGCCACTGGAGGCAAAACATGAAGAGCTATTTCCAAACTGTGCTCCACTATGACCAGGTCAACAAAAGCTGCTTTAAGCAGGAAGGAGAGGCATGAAAGTGTGGGGCTGGCAGAAAGTGGGCAATGAGGAGGGAAGGCTTCTACAGGACTGATTCTCCAGGCCCCACACCTGCAACCACATGATGAAACCTCCAGGGGCATAACCCATGGAAGACTACAAAAGGAGGAAAAAGAACAGGGCAGGAATAACATGTCTCATCAGAAACTCTTCTACCTTCCCTGTGCTCAGGGGTTCTTCCTTGGCATCATGGACACCTCCATAACCTCTCCCTCCACGGCCTCTTAGCCATGGTGAGGGGCCACCAGGAGGCATCCAACTACCCCTGGGATCCTCACCACTCTAGTACTGACAAGAACACCATGGCATAAGTGAAATTTGATTCAAAGCTAACATGAGATAGCAACAATAAAAGTTTAAAAAAAGATAGGAAAATATAAAACAAGGAAACAAAGGCCACCATCTCACCACCCACAATAAACATCAACAATGTAATTCCTTTGTTTTTTGTGGGATTTTTTTGCGGTGCTAGGATTTGAACCATATCTCTAGCAGTTTTGTTTTGTTTTGAAAGTACTTACAAAGCTGGAAGTATGCTGTATGAACTCCATGTCATATTTCACTCAACATTCTGTAGTCCCAGCTAATACTAACTAAGCATTTTCTCCTATTAAACGTCCTTAAAATACATAACCTTAAATGGCTCTATAAGATTCCACTATATGTATGAAAATACGCCATCAACAGGTATCTATAAATAAGCATCTTTATGTTTGCTTCTAAGCAGTCTGCATGACCAGCTAGGTAAAAGAAACTGGTGCTGCAAACTAAATTTTGGTGAAAAGAACAACGAATATGGATGGACAGACATTAGACAGATTTTTATTCCTTAGAATAAAGTATGAGTGGGGCTACTGTCAGACTCCTGCTTATCCCAAAAAAACCCTTCAAGACGGTGGCACGTGTTTCTATCAGTGGTACACCTGTCTCCCAGCAATCCTTTTCATATTTATAGACTACAACTATTACTGCTTTTATGAAGCATATAGGCTTTATGCTCACCTTTTCCCTTACTCATTCTGTATTCAAGACTATTTATTTTAAAAGAGCACTACTGTTGTAGTGTTCTTTGATGTTAAGAAATGTAACAAATTTTATATAGCCCATCTTTTACTGCTGTTACTTTTATGCTTGGAAAGACCTCTAACACTTCCGTTTAGGAAGTCTGCATAAAATAAATTGTAATTTACATTTCCCACCTCCATCTTTATGGCTTCCGTTTTCCACCTTTTCCATATGAGAGTATACAATTTGGTAGGGAGAGTGCTCACCATTACTCCTTAGTTCTTTCCTATTCTCATTTACTCTTTTTACATTCACTGAATGTTTCAGATTCTGCTACTGATGGGAATGTAAAAAAAATGTTCTAATCTCTGCTGAACTTTTGTGAGTAGTTTTCCAATTGGTTTTCTTAGCTTTTTTAAGTAGACCATCACCCCCTGACTTCCCACGGTACATGGCTCAGTGTCACGTGCCAGGTGGTTGGTCAAAACATATGGACAGATGTTCTCTGAAAGTTACCTTGCTGAAGGCATGCTCAAGGGACAAAAGGCTTGCCTAGCAAATACAAAGCCCCGGGTTCAAGCCCCAGTACTTCAATTTTGCTGGGCTAGGTTCCTAAACAATGCAAACTCCTAACGTGTAGGAATGGCAGTTTCCCTGTTAAAAACACTTACTGGCCAGGTGCCAGAGGTTCATGGAGATTAGGAGGATCACGGTTCGAAGTCAGCCAGAACAAATAGTTCATGAGACCCTATCTTGAAAAACCCTTCACAAAAAAATACAGCTGGTGCAGTGGCTCAAGGTGAAAGCCCTGAATTTACACCCCAGTACTGCAAAAACAAACAAACAAACAAAACACTGGCTATTAAGAGATAAGTGGTCTTATTAAAAGCTTTCTTTTGTCCTTGATTTATGGAGTTTTAATCAGCACTGACCAGATGGGATTGATCTCCCAATGACCCACCTTTTAATTTCTGGGAAAAATTCCAGTAGGCCTGCACTAGATTAAAAAAAAAAAAGATCTAGAAATTTCGCTTCTATACTCTTCCTGCATACTAGCAAGATCAAAATTCCCATATGGGCCTGGACAGCTTCACAAAAGTGGAGGGGAAACTGCACGCTTTCTAACACTATAGGTCAATGATACCCTTCTGGGAGTTATTTCCTTGCTAAACTGGGGTTCCATTTCACTAAATATGGGGCACACTGCAGCTGGCAGCCCACCTGGAGTCCTTCTCGTTCTCTGCATTGAGGCGATTGGCTTCCTGGGCCTTCTCAGCCATCCACCTGGTGACCAGCTCCTGGTTCTCCTCGGTAGTTTTCCTCAGTTTTTCCTCCAAGGCAGTAAAAGTGATCTGCAGGGCGTCATATTCATCCTTCAGGGTCTGGTTGGCTATCTCAAGGTCCTGAAGCTTGCTGCGCAGGTCTAGGCACTCTGTCTCCAGGTCAGAGATGGTCTGCAAACACTCTGCAATTCTGAAAGCAAAACATGAGAGAAGGAGTGGTCCCTTGCCAGAGCCTGTACCACAGCTAAAGGACCTGGCCAAGGGCCAAGTGGGTGAGCTTGGGCAAGCAGCAGGAACACGGGCCATCATACCAGGCCCAGACCAATGGTGCATAAGACAAATCATTAGCAAATATCCTGGGTGGGGATCCTCCCGTCCAAGAATGACTTAAGTAATAGAAGTTTTCGGGACAGCAGGACTGAAGTAAGGGAAGCATGGGGTGCTTATAGCGTAAAGGGACTTGTGAGGCTCCCCCAGCTATATGGCACTATGCTTCAGAGCTCCCATCTTCTGCCTGCCAAACTTCTCCCTGGTCAACCAACATAATTCCACCATCCCAAGGGCCATGCACTCAGATATTATGGCCCTACTTCCATCACAGGAAGATACTAGTGCCCACACACAGCAGCCATGGAGAACTGTGAACACCCCTTACAGACTCAATACAAGGCCTCTTTTTACTTTCCTAGATGATGCGGGGGGCCGAAGAGGCTTTAGCCCACTACCCTTGCCTTTCCTTTGCTTTTTAGAAAAAAGGACCCTAGACTGCATGTGCTGCAGTAAAACATTTTTTTTTTGGTGGGACTGGGGTTTGAACTCATGGCTTCATACTTGCAAAGCAGGCGCTGTACCACCTGAGGCACATCCCCAGTCCATTTTGCTCTAGTTACTTAGGAGATGGGGTCTTGTGAACTGTTTGCCCAGGCTGGCCTCAAACCATGGTTTCCCAATCTTGGCCTCCCAAGTAGCTAGGATTACAGATGTGAGCTACTGGCACCTGGCTTTCTGCAATAAAATTTCTGCTGAGTGCAGTGTGGCTATCACTTGCTCTTAAGGATGCAGCAAAACAGGATGTATGTCTCCCACAGTGGGCCCAAGAAGGCTGTCTATACTCACTTTGCTTCATTCATCTGCATCTCTCTGTCCTTCTGCTGCATTTGGTTGTTCAGGTCAATCACCAACTGAGCTAACTGGAAGATAAAGGACACCCTCATAAACACCCTTTAGAACCTCACTTAGAAATTTCGTATTAGGTTTGCTTAATTTTCAAGTAAGAAAAGATGCTTGAGGAGTTGGGCAAAGAAAAGAAAAAGAACTGGTCGCTGAGAGGAGAGAAGGGCCTATGGGGATGTGCCTGGAGACTGTCTGCTGTCTCCTGCTAAGGCAGACATGGGTAGATGGGAAGTGCTCTAGGTGATCACCCTCTCTACCCACTCCTCCAACTCATGATCAAACTCAGCTGAATTAATGATAAAATTGCATTTTCTTAGCTGGAGCTTTGCCATAAGACTAGATCCAGTGTCAACACAGCTACGACTAGATTCTTTCTATGACTCTTTATGAAATTTCAGGGTTCACACTCAGAAGGCATCAGGAAATCCTTCAGTGTATCACACAGTAAGCCTTTTTGTACTTCTAAGCTTTCCCATTTTTGTCTCTCACACCACTGTGGGAGTACGAAAGCTCAGTGGTCTGGCTTTGGCTCACTTTTTGCTGATGGGCCTCCAGTTTTCTGGTGGCTTCATTCGGGTCTCCCCACTTTTACTTTCATAGAGAGCTTGTATGCCTGTTTTAACCAGACTACTGCAAATTCTCAGGGAAATGATTGCTCTCCCACTCCTCCACATCCCTACAGAGAGCAGAAGACAGATGGGCTATCTTTACCTCCCCACGTTTCTTGTGTAATTCAGTCAGTTCTTCCTGGTGCTTAATCCTCAACTGGGCCATTTCTTGTAGCTGACTATCATTCCATGTACCATCGTGTCCAGGACTAAATCAGGACCCGCCAGATCAAGAGAACATGCAAAAAAAGAAGGAAAAAAAAAAAAAATCAAACCTCAAAACCTCCCCAATGAGGCAGTAGAGCAGTAACTACAGGATTTCAAACCTGTACACATCAAATCACAACCATAACCATCAGTCAGGTCAGAAGCAAAGTGTGGGTTCTTAAATGAAATGTAGGGAAACAGAGCAGCCAGCCAGCCCACTCACTGCCAAACATGTGTGCCAGCTATAAGCCAGGCACGGCTGGTGCTGAGGAGAAAGCAGGTGCAAGGACAGGGCTCTCTCTCAGGCTGCGATTGAGAGCAGATGGATAATAACAGAAATGTGTGAAGTCAGGAATAACATGCTGCAAAGAAGGCACACACAAGTGAAGGAGGGAATGCAAGGCAATGTGATGAAGGGGACTTCTCTGAAGTGACACACAATCTGAGACCAGAAAGAAGTGAGGAACAAGCCATGTGTCTCCCCCACAGGACCCTCTGAGCACAGGATGAAGCCAGTGGCAGATCTGGAAGAGGCGCAGGGTCAAGGCAAAGGAACAGAGGAACTGAGGCCCAGGATGTAAGGTCATGCTGAGCCTCCTAGGCCCTGAGGACTGTAGCATTCATTCATTGCTGGAGAGTTTGGGTGGTGACACTGGAGCAGAAACAGAAACACCAGTTAGCAGGCCACTGTGCAGCCCAGATAAAAGAGGGTGGTTACACCATGGTAGTGGCAGTGAAGGTGGGGGAGGGTCTAGATCCATTCTGAAGAGTGTCTATAGGATTTGCTTGGACTTGGATGCGGATTATGAAAGACAGACAGGAGGACCAGGTGTATGCAGCTCAGCAGTAGAACACTTGCCTAGCATGCCTGAGGCCCTGGGTTTGGTCCCCAGCACAGCAAGCAAAAAAGGCAGACAAGAATCAAGGATGACTTGAGGACTTTACCTTAAGAAACCAGTAAAGGGCAGGCAGGTGTTATTTACTGGATGGCAAGATTGTGGGAGGAACAAGTCTAGGGGAAACCTAAAGAGCTCCACTATGGACACCTAAGCAGTGCATATGCCAAGTGGAAAGTGGATGCTAGAATCTGAGCCTCAAGGAGAAGTCCACACTGGAGGCTTAGAGATAGAAGTCAGCAAACAGATGTATCTGAGGCTGAGAGTTCAGATGCCTCAAGAGTCAATTCAGCTTTCAAAACTTTGCCAGGTATTTGCATAATATCTCAGAAACAATAGACTATGATAAAAGAAAAATTCCGAGATCTCCTAAATTACAAAGGTGGGAAGGGGGAAGGATTAAGGGGAATTAATCAGTTATCAGCTGTAGGCAAAACAAATAACTACTGGTTGAAGCCTAGACCTAAATCCCATCACAGTAGACCCCTAGGGCTACCACACCCTCTCTACAGATCAATCGGAATGCAATGATTCTTTCTCTTTGTGGCCTACCCTCTTATCCCAAAGCTTTCCCCTATAAAAAAATGCTCACAGCTTTGGAAGACATTTGCCAACTTCTACCTAGTTCTGCTTCTGGTAGTTGCCAGACCAGACTATGTCCCAAGATCCCACCCCTTTTTATTTTCTGGCCAACATCTGTAATGGCTCAGTAAGGCCTTTAGTTTCAGAGATCCCCAGGTCTTAAGAGTTTTGGTTTCACAACTAGAACTGTGGATTTATGTTTCAGGAGAAGGGCCTTGGCTGATGGCCATTATCAGAGAAGTAAGTGCATGAACCCATGGCCTAGGGAGAGCTCAAAGACAGAGAAAAGGCACAATACTGGACACTAACTAGATATCCACAGCTAAAGAAAGGGAGACAGTGGCCTACTTTATGACCTGTAACATGATAAAAAGGGGGAATAAAGGGACAGCCCTCCTAATTTTATTCTCCATCTCCCCCTGAATTTTTATTATATATCTAAGCATAAATACCTCACCCTTTCAAGCAATCTGGCATTTCCCTCACCTTAATCCATGAAGTAGAAACAAGAAACTAGTAAGCAAGGCTGGTGGAATAGTTCAAGGGGTACAGCGTGTGCTAGCAAGCACGAGGCCCTAAGTTCAAGCTCTAGTACCCCCTCCACACACACAAAAAGAAACTATAAATACCCTTTACATGAAAACATCCTAAATTAGGAAGAGCAATCACAAAGTATTTTTACCAAATGTTCTTATTCAAATATAAAGCGATGTGGGATATGGAAAGAAAAAGCTATAGCCCCTCCTACTAAGAAATAAGGCATTCAAGAGAAAGGCCCATGAAATGAAAACCAGTAAGAAAACCAAAAGTATTAACTGTGCTCAGAGGCAGATTTCCCTGGACAAGAACCGTAGAAGAAAAAGATCAGACAGAAGGGACTTTTGAATAGACTAACCCCTTAAACCTCAAGGTACACCAAGACATAGCCCAACAGAATTGCTGGGAGAGAAAGGTATAAAGTTATAGGCCATTCCACTGCCCAGGAATGCCAGCAACTTCTTATTTTACTCACAAAAAAACAAGCTCTCAGGTGATGGAATGCTAGTGGTTCACAGGGCCTGAGCAGCCAAGAAGGAGGTGGAGCTCAGACTTTAGAAATCACCAGAGTCACCTGAAACGGTTCTTAACACAGCTCATAGGCCCACCAAGTATCTGATGCAATAGGTCTGGGACAGCAGGAATCTGCATTTCTAGCGTGGACTCAGATGCTGCTGCTCAGGAACCACACTCAGCAAACTATCTGCAGGCTGAAGAGTCTCATGTCAGCCTCCAGGCAAAGTCATGAGAACACTTTAATGCAGGATGCAGAAATTTAAGGTAAATTAGGTGTAGTGGGGAGGGCCTAAGGTGAAACAGAGGAGGTAGGGGTAAGAAGCCAATCAGCTGCCCCTCTTCTAAGAACACATGTAACACATTCCCCCCAGCAAACACTTCTTTGGTTTTCCCTCAAAATGCATTCTAGCTTCTTCACTTCTGCATCCCTTGGTCTTTTTTTTTTTTTTCTTCCTTTTTTTGGCAGCACTGGGGTTTGAACTCAGGGCCTGAGGCTTGCTAGGCAGGTGCTCTTACCACTTGAGCCACTCTGCCAGACCCCTTACCTCTGCATCCCTAATGCCTGGCTCACACTGCAGTCACAAACACCTAGTGAATGAGACTTTTGGCACAGTCCAGGAATGACAGGGCAGTGGGTAGCAGAACCATGAGAATGAAGGGCAAAGAGCCAAAGCCTGGGCAGTTAGCTGAGGGGATACTGGGAGAGGCAGGATTTGAGGAAACTGGGAATAATAGGTAACTTGCGGAAATGAGGCCACCATTAATAGAAACAAGATGGTAGGAGGACAGTCTCATTCTGAATAATGTTTGTGAAAAATGACAGACTTCCAATAAAATAACCATCTCAGTAAAATTCAGACAAAAGAATTTCCTATATTTATTTATAGTACCTTCCCAAGCAAATGAGTTTGGCTGACAGCTACAGAAATAGTCACTAAGAATCTAAATAGATAGCAAAGATGGAACTTAGGCCTGCTGAGCCATCTGGTCTCTGGGATCTCTCCTGGTCTGTCCCTCCCAGAAGACCACAGTACCAGATGAAAAACAATGGATGGCAGGCAGTTACACAACATACTCGTCTACAGGAGTAAATGACAGACCGCAACTACTGTTTCTGGGTTTTTTGGGTTTTTTTTCCATTAAGGGAATCCTTTCTGATGTAAACTACTTTGAATATGGTTTTTGGATTTTTAGACCAGGACCCTTGATAAATAATACAATAAATATGAAAAACCCAGTAAATATACCAAACACCTCACATAAATGTGCATGTACATTCAGTTCAACAAGACTTAAAACTTATCTCTCCTATTAAAACACACTGATACTTTTATAACCTAGTTCTCAGAAACATCTTTATATTTCCTATTGCAATCTGCTAATTTGATTTCACAACCTAATGCTGAAAAACACCAGACTAAAAAGCATCTAATAGAACAATACTGCACAAAAGGCAATTTGTGTTTATCTGCCAGCCAATCCTATATTATTAAGAGCTCTGTAAATATACTCAGAACTACTTATGTTTCTAATTATTGAAAAAGTGAACCCTGGTGGTTTAGAAGAGAACTTGACCTGAAGGAGTTACCGCATGAATTGGCCTTAAGAAATTTCTCAAGCTGAGAGCATAGCACTGATAAGCCTTCTAGGCATGTACACACCTTCTAAACAACCACTTTAGTAACTTGATTTTAGTAGTTCTTATTTGAAAGAAACTGACAAAACCTAAACACAGAAAAATAATTCTTGCTTTGTTTTGAGAGAAGTCCCAATTGAACCAAGACAAATTTCAAACAAGGGAACGCAAACAATACAGGTTAGTTTTGAAATACCTTATCTCGTGCCTGTTTGGTGTGTCGTGCTTTTCAGCTTGTAGTTTCTGGGCCAACACTGAATGAAGATCTGACTTTTCCAGCAACTTGTTATCTACATATACATCGAAAATAAGGTCAGAAACTATTTATTATACAACAGTTATACTTTATATTTTATAAAGCTTAGAACTAAAAAATTACCAGAAGATCACCTGGGTAGGTTTCATCTTTATTAGGTACCTAAGTATGGAGTACTGTTACCTATTGTATCAATCTACAAACGCACATTCCTTAGGTACTTCTGGGCCTAAGCTTGGGCAGCAGCCCAGCCACAGTGACCTGTAGATACACAACTGTAAGAGCCACCTCCTATTAAAGGGAATTGAAATTGCTCTCCACTTCCAAGGTTATCTGTTTCCACCTCGGGAGTTAAGCAAACACTAAACTCCATGACAAAGTGAAATGCTATGTACTTTAAAACAATGGAGAATTTTACCATAACTTGATGATTTTAATTACTACTTTGGTGGGAGGTGGTGCTGGGCTTTGCACCTGCTAGGCAAGAGCTCTACCACATGAGATACACCCCCAGCCATTTTTAGTTTTGTTGTTTTTTGTACCTTGTCTCATGGTTGGCTTGACTCTTCACCCTCTTGCATCTGCCTCCCCAGTAACTGGTATTACAGGCATGCCCCACCACACCTGGCTTGATAAATATAATTGCTTCTTAGATCAGGACACAATGAATACAAATATACCTGAGAGTTCCCAACACGAAGGAGTTCAAATCTAATTTGGTCAATTATTAAAAGGTACAGAGAAGAATGACACTGTTCTCATTTTCTTTTTTTGCCTGAGTTGAACTCAGGGCCTTCTGCTTGCTAGGCAAATACTCTACCACCTAAGCCACACCACCAGCAGTAAATCTGTTCTTGTTCTCATTTTCATATATGGTTTCAGAGGTAGTGGGATTTGAGTTAGGACTTAGAGAAGGATGATGGTCTGGGGAGAAGGAATACCAGAGTTGTCTGGTAATATCATTAATGACTGGTAATAACACATGAAAGAACAGGGTAAGAAATTTAGACTTTTCTTACTGGCAAGGATGAAACAGAAATTGTAAGAGCAGATAGTTACATAAACAGATTTGAATTTGGTAAGAAGTCAAAGACTACTCTGAACTTGTTTGCTGAGGCAATTAGCTGGAAGGTGTTTACATGCCAGACAGAGATCGTAAGAGCAAACACTTTGGGGAAGCAGGGCGCTGGTGGCTCATGCTTACAATCCTAGGTACTCAGGAGGCAGAGATCAGGAGGATCAAGGTTTGAAGCCAGTCCGGGCAAACAATTTGCAAGACTCTATCTCGAGAAAATCCAACACAAAAAAGGGCTGGGGGAGTAGCTCAAGCAGTAAGAGCACCTGCCTAGCAAATGTGAGGTCCTGAATTCAAATCCCACTACCACCCAGAATTTAGGGAAGAAAATGAGTTTCCATTTAAACACAATTAATGTGACCGGGAAACATACAGAAATTCAAAAGACAGGGCTTGAAAGACGTGGCTAAGATGAGAGGCCAGTATTGCCTCTCATCTTAGCCAGGAAGGTCAGTGTAAGAGGGCACTGAGAGGGGCAGGTAAGGGAGTGGTTCTTCTCCTTCCCTGGCCTATACCCCATGAGAGACTAATGAGAAGCATAACAAATTAATGTGGAGTCACACAAAATATAAAATTTAGTGAAGAGGCCAGGAGTTGAAGCTTAAATTCCCTTTTTCCTAAAGGGGAGGGAAATGGGGAAGGTGAAGCAGGACAAGAGTGTCTTATGTAGATAGTACCTCCCAAGCAATCACCAGGAGACGCCCTTAGAAAAATATTTTTTTTCTTTTAGAATACTGTTTAAGTCTATATTAAACAGCTTGCCTCATAGGTGAGAGAACAATGGAATAGGTTTGACTTTCATGCTACAGCACTCTGTGTCAGACAGTTTCAATCTTCTGTCACAGAGTGTTTGTTGCTTGCAAATTGTACTTCTTTTGGAAAATGTTTTTCTCAATGAGAACTCCTCCCTGGGCTTGGGAGAGAAACAAGGGAGGATTAGAGACCTGGATTCCCAGACTGTTTCTTTAGCTCAAGGTCAAAGTGCCACCCATTGGGGTAGCATCTTCTGAGCCCCAATGGCACCAAGAAGAACAAGAAACTGACCATGGGAACCTTGTAGAACAGTGAAATTTGAAAGACGGTAGTCACAAATTCTTAAAATCCTGAGAATAGAAGTGCTTTATAATAACATTTTGATAGGATTTATGCTACTGACTTCCTGTTGAAAGGGCTTATCTTCCCTCTAAAGACTCTTGAGTTCTGCTTCTCCTAAATACCTGAAAATGGAAGTCAGAGGCAGAAAACAAAACTTTCTTCTGTATTCTTAGTTGAATGAGCAAACTTGGCTGAACAAGGAACTGGTTCCACCCTTTGATATCAAGACCAAGAGAAAGGTTTAAAATCCACAGCCAAAGGGCTCACTAACCCAAAATGTTCCATAATAGCTGTGGTAACTTTAAAAGAACAAGAGCTAAGGGCCAGTAGTTCACACCTATAAACCTAGCTACTCAGGAGGCAGAGATTAAGAGGATTGGGGTTTTCAGCCAGCCCCAGGGAGGACAAATAGACCTTATTCTCAAAAAAAACCCATCACAAAAAAAGGGGGGGAAGGGGCTGGAGGAGTGGCTCACGTGGTAAGAGCGCCTGCCTAGCAAGCACGTTTGAAGTCAGCACTTCAATTCCGAGTGCTGTCCCTCCCCCACCCCCAAAATCAACTACTATCCCTGAACACACATGCACACACCCCTACCCCCACCTTCAATCATTTAAAATAAATAAAGAAAAGAAGATGAAGGCATTCAAGAGGCTCCTTCCTAAAGATTCCTTTCCCCAGAGAGAAGGCTAGACAGGGGGAAGCACTCCTCTGCCTCCACAGCCTCTCTCCATCTCTCCCTTCCAGATCAGGCAGGATTTAATACAGAACTTGGTTTGATGGAGGGTCTGAACTTGACTGGCTTGAGAAGACTGGAATGAGAAGAATGCAGAGTTCCATAGTCAACCCAGAAATGATCTCCCCAAATGTCCAATCTCCTGGCCTAAAGAGAAGATATAAACAGGCAAGGGCTGTCTAGCCCTCCTGCCCCCTCAGTAGTGCCTGCCTAGTGCGAATCTCTTTAAGTTACACCTCCGGTATTCTCTCCATCTGACCTTTTGTTGTGAATGTTCTACATCCTCCCATCCCATCCCATTGCCCCCATTCCCACCCCCGGCCCCTTTTTTTTAAAGACAGAGCCTCCCAATGTAGTCTAGGCTGGCCTCAAAGTCACAATCTTCACATCTCAACCTCCAGAGTGCTGAGATTACAAGCATGCACCGCCACGCCTGTCATGATGTCCATTTTTGAAGTACAGAAAACATTCAATTTGTGTCTATGAGATTATAAGCACCTTGCATTTGTACACTATTATACAGACAGCTTTCAAAGCACCTATATATACAGCACTGTTTTTATGAAGTAGGCAGGGCAAGCTTCATCTCCAATTAATAGATGAGGCAAACCAGACTCAGAAAGCTGAAGAGAAAAGATCAGTAAGCAGCTAGTCAGGGCTCCAACTCAATATGACTTTCATAGTGTACAGGAAGAGCACTGAGAACTGACTTTATGTAACTGTAAGGGAATCAAATTGAGTGAGAGGCTTACCGTGTTTCTGAAATAGCACTGGTCTCCTAGGGCTCTTAGATTATAAGCAATTACCACTCAAAGACACAGCGTCCCTTTTCTTCCTATCTTTTTAAAAAGGATAGATATGTGAAAGCAAAGAAAGGCCATTTCTTCGGAAATCCAGCAAGAAAAACAAATGCAAAAAGTTCAGTGCCATAAACACAATAAACCTAAATCCCAGCCCTACCATTAATCTCCAGTATAACCCCAAGGTGTTACTTAATCTGTTGGCCTCAGTTTCCTCATGAGTAAAAAGGGCAGCAACAGAACCTGCTTCATAGTATTTGGGTGCTAATTATTTACCATAGTATATAGATGTGTACTTGTCTGCACATCAGAACCACTCAGGAAGCATCAAAAATACTGATACCAGCTAGGCACCAGTGGCTCATGCCTGTAATCCTACCTACTTGGGAAGCTCAGATAGGAAGGATCATGGTTCGAGGCCAACCCGGCTTGCTGAAATCCCCCATCTCCAAAATAATCAGAGCAAAATGGACTAGAGGTGTGGCTCTAGTGGTAGAACACCTGCTTATTAAGCACAAAGCCCCTAGTTCAAACCCCAGTCCCACCAAAAAACCGAAACAATAAAATACTGATAGCTGGGTTTTCCCTCTGTTTATTCTGGTTTAGTTGGTCTGGGATGTAGTTTGGCCTTTATAACTTCTGTTTAAAGATCCCCAAGTGATTCCAACATACAGATACATTTGGGGAACAATGAATTTAGCACAATCAGAACTCAATAAACAGCAACATTTTTTTTGGTGGTACTGGGATTTGAACTCAGGGCTTACACCTTGAGCCACTCCACTAGCCCCTTTTTCTTGAAGGGTTTTTTCGAGATAGGGTCTCGTGAGCTATTTGCCAAGGCTGGCTTCGAACCGCGACCCTCCTGATCTCTGCCTCCTGAGCAGCTAGGATTTACAGGCGTGAGCCACCTGCGCCCGGCAAACAGCAACTAATACTATTATGAATCCCATTATCAACATAACCTGGAAGTCTCTGTCGGGGTTACATCAGGAGGCAGATAGGACCTTAGGACCACAGAGTGATCATACTTCTCCTAGATGCGTCACATGTTGTAAAATTAGGGAGGAGGGAGAGGAAAATGCTCATTAGGACATACCTAAGTTGCAAGGGATCGTCAAGAAAACCAGGTTTTCACTAACAGTATTGGCTACGTCCTAACAAATGTAGGCTAAAACTCAGAATGTGTACTAGTCAAAGAAAACCAAGGTGAGTTATGGGCGAGAGGCCTGGGAAATCAAGGCTACGTTTTATGATACTCAGAAGACAACGTTAATTCCAACGCGATGCCCTAAACCAGGTGTTTTTGGAGTCTGCCGATGTGAGTGCACAAGCATTGGGTGAGGTGCGGAGACTTATTTTCAGTGTCTGCCCAAGGAACGCACAATTTTGGAAGAACACCCTGTACAATCACGGCCAAGGATAAAGCGAAAGAAGAAAAGACCTAAAGAGGCGTGGGGCGTCCGAGGCGCAGGGTCCCCGAGGCGGCCGCCATGCGCGCGGACGGGCTGGGAGCTCGGCCTCCGGTTCCCTTCTCTGCTCCGCGTGCCTTCGCCAGACCCGCCCGCCCCACTCCCCGGCCCGCACGGGCGCTGCTCACACTGCAGGATGATCTCCTCGAACGCCTGCCTCTGCAGGCGGTCCCGGCGCCTCAGCTCCTCTGCAATGTGGCGCTTCCAGCGGGGGAAATCGGCAGCGCGGAGACCCGACGACATGTCGATCGCTGCCCGGGCGCCTTAGTGCTACGGATCCGACCGGAGGATGAGAGCCGCAGGCTGCAGCATGAGGCAACCAACTGGCGCGAGAAGGCCAGCAGCTCCAGAACTCACCTGCACGCACAGGCCACCCCCAGGCCTCCCCAGACCGGCTTCCGGCTCCCACCGGAAATGATTTTGGTGATGGCCGGAAGGCCCGCCTCCTTGCCCGACGTCGTACGCTGCAGGCATACACACGGCTGGTGCCATCTCAGGGCGCTCGCTAATGACGCCATGCCAAAGCCGGAAGTGTCGGAGCAGAGAGGCAGCCGCTGGGAGGCGTTCTGACCGCGCGGTAGGCACATGCCTGGCGCTCAGAAGACCTGAAAGGTGCTGCTTCTGCCAGTTTACATTTCTATTTGCTGCATTTACATTTTTCTTATTTTCTTTTGTGGTCTGCCTTCTCTTTATCTTCTTAGCTCAAACAGAAACTGAGTGGTGTGGTTGAGTGACAACCTACCCAAGACTTAGTTTTCTAATTTGTGAGATGGGCACAATAACGAACCTAACAGGGTTGTGGAGTGGATTAAAAGGAAAAACCTAAACCAGACGCCGGTGGTTCACGCCTGTAATCCTAGCTACTCAGGAGGCAGCGATCAGGAGGATCGCAGTTCGAAGCCAGTCTGGGCAAATAGTTCCCAAGACCCTATCTCAAAAAAAAAAAACGCAAAAATAGGGTTGGTGGAGCGGCTCAAGTGATCGAGTGTCTGCTAGCAAGTATGAGGCCCAGAGTTCAAACCTTAGTACTGCCACACGCATACACACAATCACTGTGCCTAGCACGTGGCAAGCCTATACCTGGACACCTGGTGGCATTCCAGGGCCTGCCCAAAGTCTGGCAACTTTAGCCTGGGGCTTGCCATTGACCTCGGTTTTTCTTTTTCCTTTTTTTTTTTTTTTTTTGCGGTTCTGGGGCTTGAACTCAGGGCCTTAACCTTGAGTCACTCCACCAGCCCTATTTTTGTAAAGGGTCTTTCAAGATAGGGTCTCAGGAACTGTTTGCCCTGGCTGGCTTCAAACTGTGATCCTCCTGATCTCTGCCTCCTGAGTAACTAGGATCACAGACATGAGCCACCTGCGCACAGCTCTTTTTCTTTTTTGAAGTAGGCCTCACTACATTGCCCAGGCTGGCCTCAAACTTCTAAGTTCAAACTGTCCTCCTGCCTCAGCCTCCCCTAGGAGCTAAGACTATAGGCATGGACCCTGTACTCTGCACCAATGACCCTAGAAACAGGCTTGCTTCTGTCCCCTCCAGTGGAAAAGTGGAATGCACACAAGAACTAAAGAAAGATGTGAATGGTGTATCAGAGTTTGTATTAGTCATCAGTCTCTAGGAACTAGAAAGGGGTAGGGCACCTGCCTAGCAAATGTAAAACTCGACCTCATCTTCAAACCCCAGTACCAAAAAAAAGCCGGTAGAAGTTGAAAGGGAAAATGCACAGACTCTTGAGAAGATGGCATCTGTCAGCAAGCTCAGCAGAATGGAAAATTTGGGTCTGTAATGTAACTGTCTGAACTCCATCTGCCCTCTTATTAATTAATTAATTAATTTGGTGGGATTGGGGTTTGAACTCAGGGCTTCACCCTTGCAAAGCAAGCACTCTACCACTTGAGCCACACCTCCATTTCATTTTGTTCTGGTTCTTTTTCTTTTTCTTTTTTTTGTGATACTGGGGTTTGAACTCAGAGCCTACACCTTGAGCCACTCCACCAGCCGTTATTGTGATGGTTTTTTCGAGATAGGGTCTTTCGAACTACTTGCCTGGGCTGGCTTCAAACTGCGATCCTCCTGATTGCTGCCTTCTGGGTAGCTAGGGTTACAGGCATGAGCCACCAGTGCCGGCCATTCTGGTTATTATGGAGTTAGGAGTCCTTTGAATTATTTCCCTGGACTGGCCTTGAACTGACATCTTCCGGATATCAGCCTCCCAAATAGCTAAGATTACAGGTGTGAGCCACCTGTGCCCACAGGCAGTTTCCATCTACCTTTAACGGGTTATTTTATTGCATGAAATTGGAACTGGACAAAGTAGGAGGCCAGAGAACAGGAAAGGACCATCAGAAACTGTCTTCCAGTGAGGCTTAAGTCCAGAGGAAGATCCTTCACATAGGCAGGTAAGAAAACTTTGACCCTCATATGGAGCAGAGGAAGACAGGGAGGCTTCTAGAGCTATCATTAAAGATACTTCATTGGCTTTCACTATGGAGTGACCTGGTATTGGAAAGACCCATGGGGATCAAAAATAGAAGTGATTTCCTCACACAATGAAGAAAACAAAGAAGCAAGTTCTGAAGTCCTCAAAAATGCCTCCAACCTTGAGTTTGAACCGTAGTACTGCCCCCACCAAAAAGCTCCCAAATGTAACAGTAGCTCCAAAGACCATCATCACATTAACAGCAGATCTTCACAACTGAGCATGCTAATTTTCCTGACAAGATTATGATTAAAACATAACATGTATGTTTTTACAAATTTGCCCAACCATCAGTTCCACTTGAAGGAAGTTATGCTGAGAAATATTTGGACATGTGTCCATATACAGAAATGTTTGTCTCAGCATTGTTAATAATGGTATAAAGTTGGAAATTGTATTTCCAAAAAGAGATTGGTTAAGTTACTGTGTATTTGTTGTTAAAAATTGTTCATGGTAAAAGCAGTACATGTTATAAATCCAACATATGTAAAATAAGTGCTCCTAAATTCTCAGAAAAAACAGGTATTTATTGAATAAGTGAGGAAGAATTTCTAAAGAATGCAAAGGTCTGCTAGGTTTGATTTCTTGCTAACTCACAACCTTATTTAGTACACGCTAAACCTCTTCTATCCCTCCCCTGCAGGGCCTTTGGCTTTATTGCATATGATGGGCACAATCTCCTGACTTCTCTGAGTGAATTCCTGTAAATTAATTCTCAGCTCAGCAGTCACTTCCTCACAATTTGCAGATAGCAGACCTTCAGAAGCAGGGCAGATGACTTCTCCTTTCCAGCACTTACCACATTTGCAGTTTCACATGCATTTGTGTCACTACTTGATTAAGGTCTGTCTTCCCCCATTCCCTGAAACAAGAGCTGTGTCTACATTTGCTCGTTATTATTTCTCCAGCAAGGGGATGGAACTTTTAAGATATGAGCTGTTCGGTAAATATTGTTTAATGTGTGGAATTCCTAAAAATAGTATCTGGGCAGTGGCATTTCTAGTACTTTTGTTTATATATGTCTCTTAGATACATTTTCTGATTAGTAGAAATAATACATGTAGTATGGCTATATGAAAAAGTTCTAGAAATGAGCATGTATTTGTTGATGAAGCTGTTTATTTGGCAGGATGCTGGGCTCTGTGGCAGAGTAAACAGGAACACTTTTGCAGTGCTGTGAGCCATGCACAGAATTCATTTACTCCTCACAACAGCCTGCTTATTGGGTGATTGTTGGCTATGGTTTGCATCCTCATCCTCATTTACAGTTGAGGAATTGGAGGCACAGAGAGGTTAAGTCATTTTCCTGAAGATGCCTGGCTACCAAGTGGTAAGTACTGAGTTGAGTGGTTTGTTTCTAGCATCTGTGCCCTTTCCACACCTTCATGTAGTCCTGGCCCAACTGACACTGCAGTTTAGCTTGACTAGAATCCATAAAACAAACAAGTATTTTATTATATATTTATATTTATATATACATATATGTATTTTTAAAATTTTATTTATTTATTTTTTTGCCACAATATCTCCCTATCTAGCTCAGGCTGGCCTTGAATTTGTGATCCTCCTGCTTCAGTCCCTTGAGTGCTGGGATTACAAGCACGTACCCCACAACCTCCAGAGACTAATTTTAAATGATATGTAATTCATTTGTAAATTAGCCAGTATGGAGGGCATCCTGGTGACAGCAAAGGCAGTGGTGGCGAGGCCTCAGGTGAGTTCATAGATCCTGAGGGAAATGGCTGGATCAGCGAGAGGAAGCAGGAAGAAATAAGGTTATCTGAATATTCTCATGGATGGTAATAGATCTGAACAGCTTCTGTCTATTCTGGTAAATAATAAGTGTCTGTAGGATTCAACATGCCTTGCTGGGAAATAGCATCTGTAAAATGGATGGTGACTGCCTATACGGGATGTAAGATAAATGTGAAATGTCCCAAGATTCTTGTAGTGCGATATGTTTATCAGCACAAAAATCGGCTCACTTAGCAAAGAACTTTCTTTGTGGAAAGTCTAGTTCCACTGAAGTATCACTACTAGCTTTAGCACAACAGCATTTGCCTGGCAGCATTTCCATTGCTGAAAGCTTAAGGATGCCTTGCAAGCCTTTGTGAGATCCTCTAGCTGTGTTCCAATTTGGAGGAAGTCCAGGTTCAACCTCCAAACAATTCTCCTATTCACTCTCTTGTTTTCCATTTTTATTAGCATGTATTCATTGTGAGGATGGGGTGTTCATTGTCCTATTCACTCCAGACTTTCGGTCTTTCTTATTTCCTTTGTCTTGATCAGCAGGTGAAAAGAGTTCAGTCTCAATGCAGGTCAGGCATGAGTGCGGTGGAGTGGGGAAGGAGGAGAAGCATCTGGAGGGAGACAAAGGCATTCCAGTCTTGGATCCTGGCCTCCAGGAGCTCTCTCTAGAGATCTTGTTGTTATTTGTGCAGGTAAAGAATATAAAGCTGGGGCTGCAAGTGCAGGGCCCTGAGTTCAAGCTCCAGAGATGTGTGTGTGAGTGTGTGTGTGTGTGTGTGTGTGTGTGTGTGTGTCTGTATGTGTGTGTGTGAAGCACAAAGGGCAGTAAGTATCAAAGGGTTTCAGTTGTCTTTTTATTTATTTATTTACTTATTTATAGCTGTATTGGGGGTTGAACTCAGGGCCTATACCTTGAGCCACTCCATCAGCCCCTATTTTTTTGGTGATGGGTTTTTTCAAGATAGGGTCTCACAAACTTTTTGCCTGGGCTGGCTTTGAACTGCAATCCTCCTTATCTCTGCCTCCTGAGTAGCTAGAATTACAGGCATGAGCCATTGGTGCTGGCTTCAATTGTCTTCTGTTCTCTTTTTTTCTCTTGCTTTTATTCCTTTTTAGCATAATGTTTACTGGTTTTTTTAAAAAAATTCTTAGTTTCTACTTTCC